ACACCCTTTCCATGAGGATGGGGGCGCCCCCCCCTAGGGCGTGCCCCCTACCTCGTGGGCCCCTGGAGACCTTCCGACTCCAACTCCAACTCTATATATGTGCTTTTGGGGAGAAAAAAATAGGAGAGAAGATTTCATCGCGTTTTACGATAGGGAGCCGCTGCCAAGCCCTAAAACCTCTCGGGAGGGCTGATCTGGAGTCCGTTCGGGGCTCTGGAGAGGGGGATTCGCCGCCGTCGTCATCATCAACCATCCTCCATCACCAATTTTCATGATGCTCACCGCCGTGCATGAGTAATTCCATCGTAGGCTTGCTGGACGGTGATGGGTTGGATGAGATTTACCATGTAATCGAGTTAGTTTTGTTAGGGTTTGATCCCTAGTATCCACTATGTTCTGAGATTGATGTTGCTATGACTTTGCTATGCTTAATGCTTGTCACTAGGGCCCGAGTGCCATGATTTTAGATCTGAACCTATTATGTTTTCATCAATATATGAGAGTTCTTGATCCTATCTTGCAAGTCTATAGTCACATATTATGTGTTATGGTCCGTTAACCCCGAAGTGACAATAATCGGGATACTTACCGGTGATGACCGTAATTTGAGGAGGTCATGTATTCACTATGTGCTAATGCTTTGTTCCGGTTCTCTATTAAAAGGAGGCCTTAATATCCCTTAGTTTCCATTAGGACCCCGCTGCCACGGGAGGGTAGGACAAAAGATGGCATGCAAGTTCTTTTCCATAAGCACGTATGACTATATTCGGAATACATGCCTACATTACATTGACGAGTTGGAGTTAGTTCTGTGTCACCCTATGTTATGACTGTTACATGATGAACCGCATCCAGCATAATTATCCATCATTGATCCGATGTCTACGGGCTTTCCATATATTGGTTTACGCTTATTTACTTTTCCGTTGCTATTGTTACAATCACTACAAAATACTAAAAACATTACTTTGCTTTCGTTACTCTTTTGTTACCGTTACCATCATTATCATATTACTTTGCTACTAAACACTTTGCTGCAGATACTAAGTTTCCATGTGTGGTTGAATTGACAACTCAGCTGCTAATACTTGAGAATATTATTTGACTCCCCTTGTGTCGAATTAATAAATTTGGGTTGAATACTCTACCCTCGAAAGCTGTTGCAATCCCCTATACTTGTGGGTTATCAGTGGAGCTCCATGGGGCCCACGAGGATGGGGGGCGCGCCTACCCTCCTGGGCGCGCCCTCCTATCTCGTGGATGCCTCACGGAGTTCCAGACTTTCATTCCAAGTCTCCCGGTTTGCGTTTGTTCCAAGAAATATTCTTGCGAAGGTTTCGTTCCGTTTGGATTCCGTTTGATATTCCTTTTCTACGAAACACTGAAATAGGCAAAAAAACAGAAACTGGCACTGGGCCTCCGGTTAATAGGTTAGTCCCAAAAATAATATAAAAGGACATATTAAAGCCCATTAAACATTCAAAACTGATAATATAATAGCATGAAATAATAAAAAATTATAGATACGTTGGAGACTTATCAGCGGCTGGCGGCGCGTCCGAATCCATTTCCGACTGCAGCAGCGCTGGGCACATCTAAGCAACTCTAAACCCCGGGTCGGGCGGTGGCGGTGCGTTGGCGTCATAACCTTTTTGGAGGCGCCGCCTTGGAGCTCACGGTTCGTCATTTGCGGCTTCATCTCTTCGCGGTGGCGTGTTCACGTTGTAGTGTTAGAGGTGATGTTGCTGCACTCAGCGCCTATGTATCCCGCCTTGAGTGTGTGCGTGTGTTGTCGTAGGGTGCGTTTGTACTTGGACTATGGTTGGTCTTTGTTTTATATATAAAGCGGGATAAAAGCCTTTTTCGGTAATCATATATAGTGTCACCATATTTTTGATTCATCGTGTAGTCGGGATGGCAAGCCATAGTCTGGATATATACCTTTTGGCAGTCGATCCCTTCTTCTAGTGTTATCATCTAGCATTCTAGTAGAAGTTAGAAGACTTATTGACAAGCTATTGTACATAACTAAGCAGGAGTCTCATTCCTTTAATCTGTCATCATTCGTTGCAGCAATTTGTTTTCACATGACACTGATGAGAGCTAGTTTCAATTGGTTATATCAGCTGTTGTGATACACCAGTTCAGCGATGGCCGATGGGTGTCTTCTCATGTTTCTGAATAATCGTTTCTTAAGGTTAGTTTTTGGGAGTTTTGTTGTAATTTTAGTCAGTGCTTTGTGTAGTTTCAAAGTCGTTCAAATTAGCTATGTTTCTAAAGTTTTATATTTTTTTCTATTTCGGTAGGAATGGGGCTTGGCACAAGTGCTTGTACATATAAGAGCAATTTTAATGGGACGATCCATTTCGTCCACGACTGTCTTTTTGGGTCGGTGCGGACACAAAAGGCAGCCTAACGTGCCGACCCAAATGAACGTGCGTCCGTTTTTCGTCCGCGGGCGACCCATTTCCTGCCCTTTTTTAGTCTGATACTCTGATTTGTGTCGGCGAGGACACGCGACGGACGCGCGCGCGCTCACCTACTCCTGTCTCCGGACCCGCTGGTCTGTGGCACATTGGTCTCCCCGCAACCATCGCCCCGCCTCCTCCGTCACCGACGCCGGCGACTCTTCCAGCTGTCGCCGCCTCCACATCCGTCCAGCACGCCGCCCCAGCCCCCAGTCGCCCCCCGCCGCCGCCGTTTTGCCGTCGGGGAGCAAACTGGTTCCTGCCGCCGCTTCCCCCACCGCACAGCCGCCCGCGACCAAGAAGACGCATCGTCGCCCCCGCCACATCCGACTGGCACGCTCGTCGGACGCCGGCAGGGCAGCTAGCTGGTCTGTGGGCGCCGCATCTCCCCTCGCCGGCCGTCTCCTTCTTCGACGCCCGCAAGCTGTTCGACAGTTTGCCAAGGTTCGACAGTTTGCCAGCCGGCCGCGCCTGCACATATGGGTCGGCGCGTTAGGCGCGTAGCCGACCCATATGAAAAACAGGGCGGACGCTAGGCGGGCGACCAACCCAAACGGACAAAAAGCGGACGAAATCACCATCCGTTTGGGTCGGCCTGTTGGAATTGCTCTAATCTCCGCATTTTGCGTGTTTTTATGGAAACGGTTTGTATGTGTTCCATCACAACAGAGAAGATTCACATGTGTGTCTTTTGTGTTTGTGTTTTCAGCCACATTTTTCATTTTTGTGGAAGCACACCGTAGAAGTTTATAATGGATGTGGCTAGTCTAAATAATAATGTTGTCCACAAGCATTACCAACTTGTATATTACACATAGCAACAATAAACCCTCAATTGGGGATAAATCAACGTGCCACATCCTGTAAGTCTGATTTCAGGTCAGCTCCTTTTCTCTCCCATTTTCTTTTTCAAATTCCGCTGTGCTATTCAGTTTTTCTTTTTGAGAAGACCTGTGATATTCAATTTGGGCACGTTTGGTTGCACACAAAATCCCAATCAGACTTGATACATGCAGCGTCTTTTTTATGTTCGGTTGTTTGGTTACCCGTGTATACTATTATGCCTACATTACACGATTCTTAAAGCACTTCTGGGCCGCTAGAAACTGCCCTGACTCATGTGATGGGACGAAGCGCACATGGGTGGCTCCTGGAAACGTGTTAGTTGTTAATCACTTTATCCCCTCACCCTCTTCCTCCTTCTCTCGCCCGCGCTCGCCGCCCCCGCTTGCCGTCGACGCGCTCACGCGGCAGCCGCCGCCTCTGCCCCGCCGCCCGCGGCCATGGCTGCAGATGCAGGTGGCCTCTGCCCTCCACGAGTTGCAGATGCAGATGGCATCCGTCCTCCACGCGCGCTGCCCCACTCGCAC